CATATATGTACTTAAATATTTAGGCAAATTTGATATAATAAGTAATTAAATGATTTAAAAGTATATAGAAAGTTATAATTCAAAGTGTTTAATTATTCCGAAACATTCAATCAAATATAAATTTTCCTAAAGAATCTAACCTGTCCTACAACGTCCTTCTGTAATTAATTTGCATGTGTGTATAGAAATAATGAACATTGAATTTGTGGCAGAAGAAAAATAATCTGGGTCATATAGTTAATTTAAAACGGTTCTCTTATTTTTATCAGTGAATATGATTAGCATATAGAGTATTTCACTTAAAATTTAGTCTTTTTTTCAAACTTAGTTTTAGGGGTTGGTATTTTTTGGCATAAAATTTAAATATTACTGATATGCAACAGTAGATATTTCAAACTCTTTATTTCTCATTGAATGATATATCATTATTTAATTATGAAGCCTACTAGATGAAGACTGTAAACTGTTGCTCATTAACGAAAGGTGATTGAGAATTTAAAGTTCTCAAATAAATTTATAGGCGATTGGATTCTTCTCTGAATAATTTAAATACTGTTTTAGTTTAAATCTCACATATAGATCAATAGTTCAACAGAAGTATGGAGCTGAATACGTTTTATTTTATTTGAAGCCAAAATTTATAAACAGAAATGGATGGTGGTTAGTAGTGGAATTTAGGACGCGCGTTTTATTCTATTTGGTATACACTATCTAGATGTGCTGTATCCCAGAGCTGATGTTCACTTCTAGACTAGAATCCAGTACTGGTCACTCTAAACGCCATCACATTGTCCACTTAGCTCTTGAGTTTAGGCATCCACTGGCTAGTGCGATGATGTAAAATTTAGTTCATTTGTGTTAGTTGTATGAATCTTCCCTAAACAAACAACTGATACAAATACATTATGTCTTAAGTTAGTTGACGTTTGTTTTACATTGATTGCTAGTTAGATTTTGTATACATTTTAACTGGATACCATACTCCACTAAATAATCAGTAATTTACTGCATAGGGACATTTTTTCCAATGATGTCAAACTAAAAACGTCACAATCGAGAAATTTATCTATTCAGTCAAGTTCAATAAACTTTGTAGTTCTTGTTTCCGTTCAATTAATGAGTCCAACCGAATGTATAAACCAATCAAAGCTTGTTGGTAAACTATAAACTCTGTTAGTGTACACAATTTTACAATATCAGTTGAATATAATTACATAAAAGTAACAACCTTTGTAAACAATTTTCCTACCAACCTTTTCCTGTTAATGATGATGTTTACAAAAGCAAATTCATTGATAATATGATAATGATAATTTGTACAAATTAATTGCATTTTGGTAATCATTAATTTTCAATCTTAAATCATTGTGTTTAGATTTATTTCCAGCCGAAATTTCTATGGTAACATAAGAAAAAGGAGATTGTTTTTTTACATTATTATTCTTATTTTTTTGGATCCTACTAATCATTATTTTTCTATTATCCCGACTTACTTACAGATCAGTTGAATTGTTTACAGACCTATAATTTTTGTCTATAACCATTTTGTTATTATATAAATTAACTTTAACTATATTCAAGAAATATTTAGGCAGACTCATGCTTAAAGTATTGTCGACAGGAAATATAATACTCTGATGATATAATCTTATATTAACCATAAAAGTGTACTAGTGTACTAGTGACTGAAATATATTTTTTTATAACTTATTAAAAAATAATATTATTTCTTACAAAAGAAATTTGTTACTCTATTCCTGTGTTTTTATTTTCTGTCTGACAGATGGAATACGCCCTTTTCATTGATATCCTAAAAGTCAATAAGACAATTATTATTATTACTATTAACTGTACCATGAATACTACTTGTAATAGTAATATATGAATATATCACTTAATATTGACAATTGGTCGGAGAATTAATGGTTTCTAGTTATATGGCTTCTACAAGACAACTAGTTTACTTGTATAAATGATGAATAAGTCTTGACACAGTCCTATCAATATATACATGATAAATTTATCTTTTGTATAATGAGTTCCTGAAATATTTTCATTGATATACATTAAATCTTTCAAGTCACAAATAAAAAGGATTTGCCAAATATTTTGCGCCATAGCTATTAAGCTAACTGTATCTTTTTAATATAGCTTAAAGAATTATTAAGAATAATCTTTTTTAATCAAAACCATGAGCGTTTATCGGGATATTGATTAAGGTTCTGTCTGACATATTCAATATAACTCAATATGATAATAACTTTATTATATTATTATATTATTCAAAGTAAGGTCTAGTTTATTCTGTAAAATAATTTTATAGATTGTCCTAGTGTAGTGAACAAGAACACAAGTGGGGACGATAGAATGTTTTTGGACACAAAATTATAGGATGTCTTAGCAAAATCTGAGAGCCACAAAGTAAATACTTCATTTGCAAAATGTTAATCAATTGTCTCAAATGTAACTGCTTCTTTTGCAAATATCAGTCAATCGTCTCAAACTTCATTGTTCTGATGTTTCTAAACCAATCATTCGTTGCTCTCGTTCACTTTTATTTGATCTTCTTAACCTTCTGCTGCCAGACATTTCACTTTCCATATATACCACGTCTATCTGTCGACACCAGTAGCATACACCATACTTGTCCGTTTTATTAAAGCAATCGCTCTTGCGGTGGTCCTGCTCGCCGTGCAACTTTCTTTTCTGCAGTCTATGCTTTACTCTCCGTCGAAATGTCTAGTCTGCGTCGTGTTAACATTTATAGTTCCGTCGACCAGTCAAGCCACCAAAATCCGATGTCTACTCCGCACCCGGGATATTCAGCAGCCTGCTGAGCCATTTACGTCCAATAACCACACGTCCCACCAATCCTCTCCGTCAAGATGTTTTGTAACTTTATGTTCACATACATTCGATTGTCCCCACTTGTGTTCCCGTTCACTACACTAGTTTTAAATTACTAGTTACAAATATAAATGGTATAGAACATTATAATAAACATAAATTTTAATATTTTTAAAGTCTAAAGTTCGACATTAAAAAGATAACCACATAAGGTAGTTAATGCTATACTGACATAAGTATAAATTTCTAATTTACTGGAATTTAAAAAAAACTGCATCAAGATTCATGTGTGTGATGACCTGTAGATTTCATTTAACATGTTACTAGACCTGCATATAAGTGGTATATTGGGTAAATAAATTGTTTAGATTTTTGATAACGTTTTGTATTCATATAAGAAAATTGTACCCGTCTTTAATTGTCCAGTTACTTGTAGTAACAGAATAAAACTGACAAATATAGTATTCCTTAGCTTTGATACATTGGGGTGGATGGAGATCGGACTAACCAAGCACTTTGAGATTAAACTTTCATGTTGTGCGTTGTCCGATATTGAAACTGGTAAACGTGCTTCCTATTCGCAAGCATAATTGGAGACTCAAATGAAAAGAATGGGATCTTGTAGAGATCGAAATCACATTTTTCCACCGATTGGGTATGCCTTATTCCTCGGCAAAGGCAACCAAATTTCAGCCAACAGCGTGTGTCACACTAAGTCGATATCCGGCATCAGTAATAATTGATGAAAAAGTCTGGTTACAGTAATTTGTTTGTCTTTATCTCTTGAGAAAATGCTTACTACCTTTAAGAAAAAAGAATAGAATAGCAGTTATACCTATGAACAGAATTTATATTTTAAAATATATGGTTAACTTTATGTAATTATTAATAACAACTGGTATTTGTAATTCGTCCAGTTACATATAGTGAGTATCGTACCATAAGCTACTCATGTAAATTTTAAAGCTATCTATCCTTCAGAGACTATTATATATTGAAGAAGACCGTAGTAACCAAAATGTTTTAGATTGTTCTATAATTTTGAGGTCACTAGCTATGAGATGAAATAAATCAAGAAAATAGGTAAAAAAGAGAAACAATATAGTAATTTAAGTAAGATATTTGATGCGGATAATAATGTAACACAAATTAACTGAACCTATAAATCTCAATCGTTGATGTTAAGGCACTATGCTCAACACGATATTTAGTTACTATAGTTTCGATCATTTATAAAACCCATTTCTCTTACAATGAATCAGTCATAGATTCGAATGAGACTGATATTCTACAGTTCTCAGGCTAATATTATTTCGTGACAAAATAACCTCAAATTATATAAAATTATTTGTTAGAACCTTTAGATTTAGTTTTAGTTCTGTTAGGTTTATTGAAGTTGTTCATGAAATAATCTCATTGAAGCTACTCAATATCTTTGAATTAAAAAGAAAACGAATATTGAAGGTCAAGTCAAATAAATGTATATGATGTACCATTTAAATCAGATTCCTTATTTCATTTATCTCATACAGTCTATACTTACCTACTTACTTACTTACTTATTTAATTACGTAAGCCTGTTACTCACAATGGAGCATAGGCCACCAACAACCATTCTCCAACACACTCTGTCTTTTCTACTTCTATACAATTAATGTTCATTCTTCTCATGTCTGTCTCCATTTCCCGGAGTAATGTGTTCTCTGGTCCTCCTCTACTCCTTTCGCCTTGACGATTCCATGTGAGGGATTGCCTTGTGACGCAGTTGGGTGATTTCCTCAATGTGTGTTCTATCCAATTCCAACACGTCTTCCTGATTTCTTCCTCCGTTGGAGTCTGGTTTGTTCTCTCTCATATTAGGTTGTTACTGATAGTGTCTGGTCTGACCAACGGATCCGAAGTATTTAACGTAGATATCTGTTAATAAACACTTGTATCTTGTGAATGATGGCTTTTGTAGTTCTCCAGGTTTCTGCCTCATACAGTAGAACCGTCTTGACATTTGTATTGAAAATTCTGACTTTGATGTTGATTAATGGACAGTTGTTTTGAGTTCCATATATTCTTCAATTGTAGATATGCTACTTTACAGTCTATACTACTATTTATTTCTTTATTCTAATATGTTTCTTTTTTCTCTTTTTCTATTCTAGAAAGCTAAAAATTATCTACATGAATTATTTCATCCACCATTTAGTTGGTTACAAAAAATGATGAGAACTATAATTTGTAAAAATCAATTTAAATCTTCACCAGTATCTATGAATGATAATACAGATAATAAATATATAAATTATCCAAATATTTTCTTTCAAAATATTCATCAAGGATCAGAATTTGATTTAATGCATAATAATCCAATATCAACTATCAATTCAAATACAATAAATAATTTCTCACATCAAACTACTACACTTAATAATCAAATAGATATATTATCATGTAGAACAACTGCATTAGTTGAATCGAATAATTTTAATGATAATAATGCATCAACTCATTATTATGATTCAAAACAATTATATGAACAATTAACTAAAAAAAACATTCTATCTAATCAAACAATGAAATATAAACATTATAGTACACTTCCTTTAGTAACCAATACTTTAAGTAATACATTCAATTCTAGTGGTTATATATTCACTTCACCTAAATGTATATCAACAGTAGAAACGTTACCAATATTTAATCAATCGAATTTATATCATTTACAAAATGATTCAACAAAATATTTTACATATGATGGACAACATCGTAAATTCTATTTAATGGCACGTTATTTACGTTCAGCACAAAGACAACGTAGACATAAACGACGTGTACAAAAACGTCTTCAAGAACAAGAACGCTCTGAAAAGAAAAGACTTGAAAATGAAAAACTATATGGTACATTATTTAGTCATCAGAGTAATCAAATCATTGATGATAAGAGACAAAATATACATAAAATAAAATCTTTAACTAACATCTCTGATGATAAAGCTTCAACTGGTTCAACCATACTCAGTGAGTCTGGTATGGAAGATTTTAGTGATGGAAGAATACGTTTATTATGCTGGAAAGATATTGATATTGATTTAGAAGTACGATCAATAGATGAGAATTACGATGATATACATGGCCTAAAGAATATTGAAAATACAAAGGACTGGAGCACAAAAGCAACAGTTGATGGTGCAACTGTGATAGTAAATATGAATGTCTCGGAGCCGATATCTCATATGAATAAAAAACGCTCGATAAAATGTTCTATGAGTAAAATAAGATGTAATCACAACTGTTGCAAAACTCATAATTCAAAATCATATATCAATCTTCAACAGTCTACTCAAAATAACCTATCATTAGTGCATACTATGACTGAACCAAAAAATGAAACACCAAAGTACTGTACAATGCGCAATACAATCTTAAGTTCATATCCACAAACACCATTCGAAGTGGCATGCTCATCATCTAAACCTTTTCACAAATTATTAACACATTCGATTTCTACATCAGATAAAGAAAAGCTTTATGATGTGAAACCATTATCAAACCCAATTAGACCCAATCCTGCAGCTATACACATGTCGTATCATCAAATACCTATGAATGAACTCAATGTTTCAAAATCAGGTTTATCAAGCCTACCAATACACAATTCACTCCAACAAAAACAAACTTCACAGATTCCGACTACTTCTGCAAGTAAAGCTAACATACCACCTAAACTAAATCAAAATTTAAGCTTTTTTCCAACAGTCACTTTACCCAATTCCTTTCATTACTCACAACCTAATCAGTGTTCTACGATGTCTTTCCTTCCTGGATCCCATAGTTTACAACCTGATTCTTTTCAAAGGCTCTTACAATCCACAGTAATTTCCAATCCATTTGCAACATGTGAAGATGTTTCACGCGATATAAAACCTGAACAACTGGGTAGATCGCGTCTTTCATTAGCGTCATCACGTGGCGATTTAGACAGCGAAATAGTTGTACAGTTAAGTTATTACTCCCAACGTGGTAGTAAACAATCGGAAGATTTATCATTTTTTTCTTATCGTGATGGGTTTTCTGCAGAAGAGGATGTATCCAAAGTGACTGTACCAATAAGTTTATCACTAGTCATTATGACAACTTACATACTTATTGGAGCTATTGTATTTTCTATATGGCAAGATCCAGATTATCTAAAATGGTCATATTTTTGTTTTATTACATTATCAACAATTGGGTTTGGAGATATAGTTCCAGGCAAGTTTGATTAAACAGTAATTTTTTTATCTTGATAAACCGTACTGAATGTATACTTGTCATTTCATTCTTAAGATAACTTCATTATGGTCAACTGTAACTATTTTTTTAATGAGCTGACCTATCTAATACATGCAGATTGTTGAATGTAGTTCACCAATTAACAATTAATTACTGGAACACTTCATTCCTTTCTATGATTCATTATAACCAAACACATTAAAAATATTAAGAGATCATCATCGAGGTAAATTTATCGTTTTCTCTCTTTAGCAGCCCTCGAGTGCCTTACTTTAAACAAATGAATTAAAATCAGTGCTTTGCTTTTCCCAGTGGGCTGTAAGTTTTATATATTATGACTTGTTTAGAGACATTTTTGTAAATACTATTGTTACAAACAAATAGGTTTAGCACAATTATGAGGCAATGCAATGAACCACAGTTTATTTTTTTTACGAATCACCTAAAGAAAAACAATATAATCAGTATATTTTTCTTAAATACACGTAGATTATTTACTGACCTATATGTTATGAGCACAAACATGTTGTTTTTCGTCCCGTTTGATAGTTTATCGTACATTATATGAATGTTGCAATGAAAAACTACAACAAGATAGCTACTACAGTGAATTCTGAGCAATCTCTGTTAGTGTTTCTTTTCACTAAGTTGAATGTTGAATGAGGGTGGCGAATTACTGTGCGGTTATCTAGCACATTTGTCTTTTACTTCATATAGCTATTTCATAAACTGATTATCAATCTTTTTTGTTCTTATAAGTACCAGCACGGTATTTGGAGGTGTCGATATGACACAAAACTATATACACTTAATAGTGAAAGGAATATAGAATTCAGTTATCTAATAAGTGCCTACTTATTTTACTGAAGAAAATAATTTTAAATTTTTATTATCCATTTTCTTTATCGAATTTTCACATTTTCTTTTAACTCTCGGTTACGTCATTTTGCCGACTTTGAAAATGTTGAAAAAGAAAAACAGTCAAAGAAAAATGAGAACAAAATAAAGAATTAAATTAAAATATGAAATGATTTCATTATTTATTATGGTCATAAAACTGGTACATTTATACACTTGTAACTGTTTCCATATTTGAAATAACTTGGAGTACTTCAATAAAGAGATTTCTTGTTGGCTATAAGATAATTAGAACAATGAAATGTGTATATGATATGTGATCGCTCTTTACATCATCATTAACCTACATCTATTTTCTAAGAACATTTTAGGTAGTTTTTTTTAAAAAAGTGAAGTATTATGTTTATTTAAATAAATGAAATTCAGATACAAACCCACCTTGGTAATATTAGGTTACTATCCAGTGATTAGGTTTCAAAATGTTTTCCCAATATTTCTTCATTATCCCTGTCTCCTCTTACCCTCCATTTCTAGTCTAGTTGACTTTTTATTTTTATATATAAATGTTCTTAACAAGTATATGTGTGATCAGGTTGTTCGAAATGTATTACGCTAATATATCACATAGTCCTGGAAATCTTCATCTTCTTACTACACTATCGAAATTTATCAAACGAACTAATTGCTTTAAACTTCAGATTATGAAATTACTCCGAAAAAATTACATCATCTAACATCAAATGATACTTAGACAAATCAAATTAGTGACTCCATTTCTACCCATAACTCTGTTGTGCAGAATTTCAACTTATAAATAAACTGTCCCTTTTCTTATGCGTAACTTAGTGAGAAACACTATGTATTTTGCAATAAACCAATATGAACAAAAATATGCTGAGCTTACTACAAATATCACCAGTGACAACGTATAGTGGCCGATCAATATAGCATAGTGACTAAAAGCAGAAATGTATACTGTTGGATAAAGACTCAGTCGTCTGAAGGTTAAGCGCTCACTATGTGAACTTATGTTTTTAGCTTTAATCACTAGTGTAGTTATGGATGTGCACTCCTGTTTATTCACTCGAACAAATAACTATTATATAATAAGGTAACTTTAAACCACTGTTAACTCAGTGTTAATATCTCTTATAAGAATGAGTAATTATAAAGATTATTCACAAATAATCGCCAAAGTTATAACTAAAATTAAAACATTCTACATAAACCCTAAAATTTATAGCTGAAAACAGACTTATGTTACGTTCACAACTATCTTCTTCATAAGTATCTTTTTTTTCTGAAAAATGTTAATCAAGATCAAGTGACTCAACCAAAAACGGATTATTATTTAATTTTCATATAAAATGCCTTGACAAATATATGTGTGACCAGATCATTCAAAATGTATAGCGCAAATACATCACAGTTTTTCAGATCAACTCCGTCTTCCCATTGTTCTATCGAAATTTATAAAAGGTGCTAATTAATTTAAATATTCATAATTAATAAATTTTTCATCTTTACAAACGTTTTTAAAGTTTTTTAAGTTAAGTTAGCTTATTTCTGATTACATAAATTTCAAGTAAATTTAATCACTTGCCATGCTTGTTTTCTATAGATGAGAACATTAAATCATCATAAAAATATCTTCAATGAAAGTCGTGAACCACTGGATTATGTCCCAGTGGTTGCTGAAACACACTTCTGAAAGGTCAGCGAATTAAAAGATCTAAAACAAAGTAATAACACTGGCAACTGGTTGCAGATGCAAAATGAAGAAGACTATTGATATACTAGTACTAACTAAATAAGAAGTTGATGATGGACAGAGAAGTAACCAAACTTAAAGGAAACGAACAAACAGAATTTTTACCTACTAATAAAAACCATCATTCATCATCTAAAAGACCCATTCGCATATCTTGAAGTATATATTGAGCAGTTCACTTTTAGTACGTACGTAAAATGTACGTAAATTGTAACAATTTATATAATCCAATGATCTAACTCATAGATTTTTACGTTTGAGCCACCGAATGTTACGTAAATGAAAAAAGAGGAAACATCTGCTTAGTTTCGTCAGTTACTTTCTAATTTAGTCGAATATTCTAGACAATAAGAACACTAAAACTGATGATGAGAGCTCAGTCAGTAAATGTAGTAAAAATCAACAAATGCAACGTCATACACCTCAGGATATATAAACATAAGATGAAAATGGTGAACATGGCTAATTTAAATAAGTATTCCTGATAAAGGAAAAATTTAAGAAAGTAACTGCAAAATAGTTCACGATTGTCGAAGATAACTAAAATGTATTGGTACAGTAGAGTAATTAGTGAAGTACAGGTTAAAAATATTTTCGGTTAAGGAAGTCAAATCGAAATACAAAGAGTGATAACATGACTCGCGTTATTGATGATCTCACCAGTTCATGTTCTTTTCATGCAGCTCCAATCATGTTAATCCTACATTTCCATGTCTTTTTGTAATATATTGTATGGATAATTTCTCATTGTTAATTATTTCTAATCGATCTTCAGATTTTAATTTGCATGCTTACTTGTTCAGCTCTTTAAAACGTATGTAATGCTACTGCTATTGACACAAAACTTTTAAGAAAATATGAATTAGAGTTCGCGATATATCATGCTTGAACTAGATATGCAAAAATTGAGTTTCTCTATTTGTTTGGACATCCTTTAAGAGTGGGAGATGAACAGTATTGTCCTGTTTGAGGTTGTAATATGTGAAGCTATAAGGATGGGATAAAATCTTTCGCTACAATATATATATATATATATATATATATATATATATATATATATATATATATATATATATATGCTGTGAGCTCTATTATAATATAGAAGTACACTTTTGAGGATAATTAATGGATTTCATTATGGATATAAAGAATTCATTTAACCTTGAAGTGTCATTTAAGAAAAGATAAATTTATCATTTGTCGTTATTTTAGTGGGAGAACTGTCCATAATATTTTAACATTTTTAAAACAATAAACATAAGTTTCATAACATTTTGTCTTTTAAAATATTAACGTTTATCATTGTTGATCGTACTGTCAATATCAGTCGATTTATTGAATCCGGTTATGAATTGTCTGTTATTTTCTTAAATTAAATCTCCGGCTTTTTGCTTTCTACCACCAGTTTCTTTATGGTAAAATTATCTTCGGATTATATAAAATCTCAACACAACCATCATTAAAAAGGTATATATATTTAAATACGTTCGACTAGCTATTTTATTAGTTACTTATCTCTCTGGTTTCATCTAATGACTGTTCAGTTTCCTGTATTTGCATTCAATGGATTACATTATTTTATAACACCTTACCTACTATTTCAGTATTTAAACTTAATGAAAATACTTAAATCAAAGTTGAAAATTGATAGTTCCTTTTATAAGATGAGTTAAAAATTTGAAACGACTGCAATCTAATCGATATATATACCGTATCACGCAACTTTATAATCATGATATAACTATATAGTAGGTGAAAATTTCTATTTGAATATTCATCTGAGATTTAGCTGGTATATAAATTATAGATTTCTATCTCTTTAACATTTAAAAATATATTACTAATAAAGTGAAAATCTGGTTTAAATTGTGATTGAATCATAAGCATGTTATGAGATACTATATTAATGGAAAGATATTCTGAATTATGGAAACAAATGTTAAGTTTCAGTAGTTGAAATCATGAGTCAATCATCTACTCACTAGTGACAGACTTCAAGAGGCATTTCCTGAAGTTCTAGTGAGAAGCCGTTACCAGTGGAGTTCAATCAGGTCTGTTGTGAGATATCAGCTCGCTGAAGACAATGGTGTACGGTGGCGCAACTTCGTGGATTGGTTGAACTTAGGGATTAACACCGTTGGATGCCGATCGGCTCAGTTGTCTAATGGTTAAGCGCTCTCACGCGAGACCGATAGGTCCCGTGTTAGAATCTTGCGGGGGGCGGGATCGTGGACGCGCACTGCTGAGGAGTCCCGTACCAGGTTTTCCACAGTGGTCTAGCTTCAATCGACTCATGATTTCAACTATTGAAATTACTGAAATCTCCACAAAACCCCTTCTGAAAATTTTTTTCTGATCATGGTAAAAATCTGAAATGCATTCGATATTAGAACTACACTGAACTATCATAATTTCATTTAATAATCACTTAATCGATTAAGTTAGTTCGATTTTTTGTTTTGTAATTGGATCCAGGAATAGTGTTTTAACTTTAAACCACCAGTGAGTTTTCTCTGGATTACTTTAGAAATTGTTAATCGATGATTTTGTCTAGTTAGAGTTTTTGTAGCAAAAAATCAACAGGTATCAAAACGGGATATTTTAGTAGAGCTCATTTACTGATAAGTTAGATGATCACTGAAACCTTGGGAGCACCGAACGATCGTTTCGTTCTAATCTTGGACTCCTTAGATGTGCATTTTCACAACTGTACAACCGAAAGTCGGACCAAGGCCCTTCATTCTTGAGCTTTAAAAGATCGGCTCATGATCTCAAGTAAATTCAGAAGTCTCCATTTAGCAGGAGGTTTACTAAAAATATTTTGCATCGTTTGGTTTACTGTGTGATTTCACTAAACTTGTAGCTTCCTTGAACTGGTCTCATTAGCATGTGTCATTGCAACACTATAACAAATATCATTATCTCCTAGTTTCCAAAGATGTAAAAGCTTTATAACTCAGAATCGACTGTCCGTGTTATTCAAATAAAATTAGAGAACTGTGAAGACGGTCCATGGGTAAACTCGAGGAAGCTCTAAGAAGCTCAGAAAGAGCAGAGGAATATTCCATAATCACTACATGGATATTCTCTATTGGACAATGCTAGTAACCCCATGTTTGCGGATTGCATAACTATAATGATGATTTTGTTTTTACTAAAAAACCATAAATTCCTGACCGTCTTGTACCATAATTGACACTATTTGAAATAACATTCCCTTCACTTGAATTCTGTCTTCTCATTTGCGACTTGGGAGGGTTCTAGCGTTCGAGTACTCAAGCCATACGTGGCATATCAAGAATATAAGCTCTAGATATAACAACTGGAAAAGTCTAGAAGACGTATCAGTGGAGACGGGGTGAAAAAAGAGCCTAGACAATCAGCATACAGAATTGTCATCGATGTCCTTGAACGACATTGGTTGTTAACTTGTCATACTGTATTTTCTATTACCGAGCTCATTCATACAGAAACAGAAAATAGCTCTCCCTTCCGATCAATTACAGTTGCTGATTCAGCGACAACAGCAGTGTTTTTAAAAAGAATCAGTTGGAATTTATAGACAAATTACACAAAAAGCTACTGAATCATCCATGTTTTGGAGATGTAACGGGAGTTGATGAACTAATATCTAAATTGCGTACAAAGCTGGAAAATGATTGCAGAATGTATGAATGTGTCGATACAAGCCTCTAAGAATTCTTGATAAGCAGCAGTGTGAGCAAAGCAGTAGCAGTCATTCATGATCTGCCTAGTGGTCCAGAAACGTCTATTTCAGAGATATGCCCTGTAGCGGGTTCAAACCCCATTGTCCCCGAAACACAATGTATATTCGGTGAAGCGTTACATGATAAACATCCTAGATTTGTAATTCACACAAGAAAAAAGTTCAACGGATTATTAATTTGCCTGAAAGAAAAACTATATTGTTCACAATAGAAACACTTTTACCTTTTAACTGAATGAAACTAATTTGTCTCGAAACAATAACCTTTCCCTTTTTACTATCACACCTTATTCTAATTCACAATGTTTTACTAAATGTCTAAGTTCTATTAACTTATTCTTCAATGATTAAAATCATAATAATCATTGAAAGTGAGTTTATCTAAGATAATCTAACATTAGGTCTTCCCAGTCTCCCACATTGTTCGGACGTTCCATGTACCTATAAAAATTGTTGCTCTGGTTGTTATAAGGGGCATCAACCTCGTGGATTCCGAAGGAACTCGGCTTTCACCATGAAGTGTCATAATTCTTCTAAATGAAGACCTTCTAATTCCCAGGGTAGAGTTAAAATGGTTTGAGTTATTTTTTCTGGTTAGCGTTTTTTTAGCGAGTTAGTTAACTACGGGATGGGGTCGCTAACCCCATTCCCAACCCTCCTCCTTTACCCGGGCTTGGGACCGGCAGTAACTCTAGGAGAGCTACAGGCGGAGTAGATAATCTAACATAGTCCTTTTAAAATGCAACAAATGTCAATGTTGACATTAAATTTAAAATATTATTTTGCGAATTCATTAAAACATAATTGGCTTTATTAGGAAATAGCTAATCAAATATTACTTAATTTATTACAAATTACCATTTAATGTACTATAGAACAAAGGCCACATATACTTAGAAGTTACATTTATAATTATATTCTTCATTGATTCTGCTTTTCTATTTGAACTGATTTTATAAGGAAATAGGATATCACTAGTAAACTATTATCTATACTGTATAAATTCCGTAGAAATATTTTCCCCTAATTGATTGTACGTTCTTCATTCATTTAAAATGTTTATCTCCCACAACTGTTGAATTACATTTTAAGTTAGTATCACTTTTGTGACCACTCTCCAGATTCTACACCTATTTTTATAATGTTTCAACTATTAACTTACTGGATAGTTTTATTTATATTATCAGTGTTTCAAAGTTTATTGGATTGAACTCCTATGGTTCACAATTCAAATTTCATTAAATTTATGATTTAGCAAAAGGTCATTCATTTGTATCAGTTAGAATATATATATCTATGTATATATAATACTATATATGCATTAAATGAATCTGAATAAAAATCAAGGCTTAAAATGGGCATGAATCTACTCGTTCGGTATAATAACTGTTCATTTATGAACAGACCAAAGTTTATTCAATTAACTTCGAAATCGAACTCATATAAAGCTTGCGACTTCAGGTAATATCGATGCAGTCTGGACAGGATGCACATATTATAATAAGAGACTGATCAATTGCAGTCCTAAATAATAATGGGAAGATTCAAGTAAACAACACCAGGTGAATATAATTTCACCCCATTGCACAAGCAGGTGGCTATCAGGACTCTATGGATAAGTGGATAACGTGATGGCGTTTGAAGCGAACATTACTGTGTTCGAGTCTCGGAGTGAACATCAACTCTGAGATGCAGGTATGTCCAACTGACGAGTCCCGAATAGGACGAAACACGCGTTTTTGTTATAAAATGGATTTATACTTTTCTCTAAGGCTAAGTATAACACTGAACTGATTATATTTAGTCGGGTTTTCTATATTTAATTGTTATTTTGTAACAATGATTTAATAGTTTATTGTTTTAATGAAAACGGAATACATATATAACCTTTTCTTCATGAACATTATATTATTAAACTCATATCTGTTTGATCATATTCAAATGTAAATAAAGCAATAAATCTATCATTGTGTAACATGATATGGTTATTTGATTATTTTACTAGTGATCAATACTTTCATTTGTCATTCTGTCTAGGTTTTTATATCAGTTTGATTAAATTAACTATTAAACTCACATAACTATATCTGGTTTCTAGGTTAAAAGCAGATAATGACATTGAAAATAATAGAAAATATGTAAATGTATTCTGTAGGGAAATATTATATACAGTTGTATAAATAATTAATGTTTATAGTCTCGGTTACTGTTAATTTTCAATCACTGATTCTACATTTCCTAAAAGTATCATGTCTTTTTTTCTGCTAGAATGTTTCATTCACTTTAGTCATGTAATTGAACATTAAACTTTTTCAAATTAACCTCATTCAATGATTTGTACTATTTAGTTAACTAAATAAATGTCTGTATATCTTAGATATCACCGTACAGTATAGTCATAGGAAAAAAAAGGGAACAGAAAGTTCTAAAGAAGATATCGATCAACTGGTATTCTTTATACTATATTACGAATTGACTAGAAGTAAGTATTAATCTTAAAAACCAATTACATTAAAAGATGTAATGTGTAAATTCGTGTCTATGCGATGAGTTATTAGTGTAATTTGCTTAAACTTCAGTGAATACATTGAAATAACCAAGTATAAATTGTCACATTTTCAATTGTTCTTTGTAGAAATATATAAATTCAACAGAATTCAACTTTGTAATTATTCACACATTATTACTCTTTTAAGTTTTTCTTACTTATTTTAGTCTTCTTTTTTTGTTGTTATATTTTTTTTTCAAACCTCTTTTTTCATTCAGGTACCAAAATTGATTCAACTAATCCAAAGGAAAAAATGATTATCATTTGTTTATATGTTGCTATTGGTTTATCAGTGTTTGCAATGTGTTTCAAATTAATGCAAGAAGAAGTTGTTGATAAAATGAAATGGTTCGCATTAAGAATTGGCATATTGAAACGTAAAGAAACAACAGACACTACTGATAGATCATTATATCCTATGAGTAGAATTTGATTTTTTTGTTGTGAATTTCTATACATAAATATCCTTATTTATACATATTAAATTACCAATTCTGATGGAATATATTACTGAAATGTTTTTTAACCAAAATCATATATATTTAAAACCAAACAATTTTCAAACTATTGTATATAGAAAGAAATATGTAGTGGTTACAAGTGCATTTAAAGAATGAGTAAATATACGTACATATATATATGGTAATTCTACTTTTCTCAACTATAAATATACATTTATAATTGTTTAATTGTTCATTAAGTGATAATTCATTGAAGGGATTCTCATATTGGTTGTTGAAAGTTAATTTACACAAAAGATGTACAATGAATGGTGATAATAAATTAATTAAGTAGATATCAAATGTAACGTTGCTTCTCTGTCTTGTTCCTGAAATCTTATACCTTGACCGATAGGGTTCTTGAAGTAGTAAATACTAGACAAATATCAACACTAAGTGATCAGTTATTACAAGCATCTCATTCCTCCATGAGTTCAGGTGTAACCTAAATATCTCAGCAGTGATATCTACAACTATGACACTGTGAGAGATATATTCAATTCCCATGAAGGTATAGGTTCCTTTGAGATTGTTAGTGAGTTTTTAGTGGTCCGATATATGACTCCAGTTCGATCGTATGAATGCTTGTTATTGAAATGTACATACCGCCAACCCTCGTATATGACTATTGACTTAAATTGCGTTAGTGAATAATGGAATTAAATAAGTTAAATACTAAAATGGAGTTTGAATACTAATTTTTCGTACACTCATTAACCTGAACAGACAATCAGGGGGATGAAGCAAAAGGGGTGAAGGAAGTGAAGAGGAGAGAGCGAAACGAATCGGAGAAAACATTTGAACCATTTCGATTTAACCAAGTGTAAAATGATATTCATAATCAAACAAAAATAAGCTACAGACATGTGATGAGTAGGATAAGCAATGTACACACATACGCTCACATAAAAATAGTCAAGGTTGATAAGCGAACAGTTAGAAAGATCAAAATGTGACTCAAGAAGAATGAATAAATTGGTCTATCTAAAAGCAATAAGAACCGATGCCAGCTTGACACGGTACTAGACACCACGGGTTATGTTGACGGTTGTTTAGATCCAGGGCATCTTGCTGATTACTCCCAACCACTAAACACTCAAACTTAGATCACGTGGTTCTGAGTAACAGGAACTGGTAGACACATTACGACATGGTCGACTTGTAACCCTAGAAATAAAAAATGATGAAGTTAATAAGTACTGTGTGTATTTTCATCGTAATGTCAAGTTAAAGATAATTGCTAAAAGCAACAACTACATAATGGATAATAAACTTAGAGAAAGAATTCAAAGAAAGATCAACATTTCAAATAAAACAAACTCCTTGTCCGAACCACAAAAGATGTAAAAGTTTCTGTTATCCATTTTACACGAGCTTTAGGAACAGCATTTACTGAAAGAAAACGAAGAAAAATTTTTATTATAGTTTTGGTTACATTTGTGCAGTCGAACTTAAAATAAATACTACATATTCAAAAGACAGTCGCCCATAAATTACATTTAATGACAAAACCTTGCTAATATCTTTGAAGGTATTCAACGTAATTAGTAAAAACAAACAAAATTATTCACTTATCCCGAAACTCGATTGAGTAATCGTTGTAGATGGTAATTTTATACCTTACTACAAAGTGGAATTTTGACAAATCTATGTAATCTACATTTGTGATTGATTTTTTTTATTATCTAGAACACTCACTCATTCATTTGGTGGCTAATCTAATGAGCATAAATGACGATGACTTACTATGAACTTCTAGTTATGTAATCTATTTCGTTTGATCCTCTTTGTATATACATATTGAAACAATGTCCTCAAGAAGTATTTTTTTTGTACTATACTCGTTTACCTTGTTTTTAATATGATAATATTTTTGTCCTAATTAAACCATTTGTATAAGTATGTCATCCATAGAATGAATTACATCAAGTGAATTTCCTCTGAATTGTTCAACGTCACAGGACTGTGACCACGAAAACATGATTGCCAATTTAGATACTCGGGCTTATACGACCAACTAATGACACAAACACCAGTAAGGGCAGCCAAGAGTCCTGATTGGTCCTTTTCCCGCCCAATCCTACCTGTTGAGTTCAGAACGCCAATTTCAGCTTCCGCAATATGAATAATGTATTTCAAACTTACTAGGTTTATATTACCAACAAATCAGACCGCATAACACCATAATATAGAAAATAACATTTGTACAAAATCTAACCAAAAGTGGCTGTGATTGTGAGAAACTGTTACTAGTAAATTGGGAATATCTCAAGAATAGTAAATCGTATAATAATAGTCAATAGGTGAAATAAAAGCTCATAATGAAAGGAATATGAATAAACATATGTATAGCCACTTAACAGTTATACAATAAGAATATACATATAATATTAGTCCATAAATAATTACTAGCCGTTACCATTGATTTATTCTCGTTTGGATATCACAAAAATAAATACATAAAATTTAGGAATTAGGGCATAAGTATTTAACAATAAGATTTTCGGAAGAAAACATGCAACTAACGAAGGTCATATTTTTTCATCTTGAGTTTCTTTCATGATCGTCATTGATGAAAGCTTTCTTGTAGCTGTCCGACCAGATTATATGCTGAACTTTAGATAATATCTTGATTGAATTAAAAGTTTATGTTACTGAGAGGTCTGCAACAATAGAGCTACCATGGTAACTTTTTTAAGGATTTCATAATTTATACAAACATTATAAGCAAAGATGAATGGTGGTTAGCAGTGGAATCCAGGACGCGCGTTTCGTCCTACTCGGGACTCGTCAGTTGGACATACCTGCATCTCAGAGTTGATGTTCACTCCGAGACTCGAACACAGTAATGTTCGCTTCAAACGCCATCACGTTATCCACTTATCCATAGAGTCCTGATAGCCACCTGCTTGTGCAATGGGGTGAAATTATATTCACCAGGTGTTGTTTACTTGAATCTTCCCATTATTATTTAGGACCACAATTGATCTGTCTCTTATTGACATGCAGGTACATCCAGCTGACAAGTCCCAAATAAGGCTAAACGTGAGTCCTAGATTCCACTGCTAGCAACTAACCATCTTTGCTTATAATGCTTGTGAATTAAGGCAATATGCACATATGCCAATAAGAGACTGATCAATTGCAGTCCTAAACAACAATTGGGAAGATACAAGTAAACAATACCAAGTAAATTTATACAAATATTGTTTGAACGTATATTTTGCAACTGAACTCATCATAAGAATAATAATGAAGAGTCGTATAGTGAATCAAATTGATTTCTTTTTTCTAACTAGATTGACTTTCATTGTTAATATCATTCATCAAATTTTTTTTAACCTAATACATTTAAGTAATATGGTGTATGTGTAGCAATTAATCTTGTAAACTGAGAATTATATTCTTCCTTGTTTCCTTTCATTTTTAATTAGTTTAAAATTTTATCAAATAGTAATAGATCATTGATACTGTGTGTTCTTAATTAATATTCATTTAATCACATGTTCATTATAATCATATGATACATCACTTGGATATACACAAAAGATTTTTAAAAAAATAGGGTAGTTACTATTTCTTAATTGTAATAAAACTACTTTAAAGAAGGAACGAATTGAGCGAAGAAATTTCTTTTCAATTAGTTTTTCATCATGGCTCTACACTAATATATATATACGTTTTACAATAATAATATAATACTCATCGAGTAGATACGTTAGGTAATAATTACATAATGACATTTAAATTAACCGTTTAAAGATCCCCGTCATATTAAAAGGCTAATATTTGAACGAAGAATATTCTTTTCGATAAATTCTCTTCAGGTTCTACAATTATATATCCAAATTAATAATCCGAAAAATGGCCAAGTTAAGGGCAAAATACATCGTTTAGAGCATGTGAATTTAGGATTGTGATAAACAAAATACAATAAAATTGTTAATGTCAATATGACTCATATAGAATGTAAACTTGAATCAGCTTATATGTTAAGTGAAATTTTAAGATCCATGATCAGAATAAATATGGGTCAAATAGGGTGAGAGAGAAATAATAGTGCAATTACAATTCGATCAAATAAGTAAGAGGTAATACGGAGGGATGCATGTGAAGTGAATGAATCATGTATAGGGAGATTAATGATGTTTAACCAATAATACGAATAATAATAATAATAATAATAATAATAATAATAATAATAAAGAGTAATAATACGAATAATACAAAGATTTATGAATAAAGATAACAGGGACAATTACAATTGACTACGAAAGGTCATAGTCAAATTGGGTCATTCAATCGTTAAGATTACGATTGATTAATTGGCCTTGATGTTGGCCAGGGGAGGAGGAGTGGCTGAATATATTTCTTCTGTACGCACAGCTCCGGTTTCTTCATTCGGATGGCTACTGCTTCAGCCGTTTGAAGGACTTTCAGTCTGACCAGTTTTGGCAAAAAATTACTTACCTTATAAATAATTGAAAAAGATTGGTTTATACTGGCACTATGACCGGTTTGTACTAAATGGGCCAATATTGAGCTGTTCACCTTCTTCATCAAACCTTTGTTTAACCACGCTGGAAGGTGTTCACGAGCACGAAAATGCAAATTCCTAGAACTTCGACCAATATAACTCGCTCCACAGGAGCAGTTGAACTGATAAATACAAAATGAGGTGGTCATTCTAGGTAATTCATCTTTTAGCTTCGGTGTAACCATTGGGCGCATAGAAAATACTAATCGCAGTTCTCCGGCGTTAAAAGACTTTTGTATTGTCCTACGTAATCTCTGAGTTAGTATTTCGCTAGCCGCATCCCCTCTGAATTGTAGACGCATGAACAAGGACTTCTTCTTCACTGTTTGTATTTCGCCTACTTTCGCCTTCGTGACCATATATTTAATTATAAACTTTTTAGGGTAGCCGTTCTCCCTGAGAGTATTATGCAAGGTGGTAAGCTCTTGTTCGACTATATCAGCAGAACATATAGTGCGAATACGGTAGCTAAGGTTTTTGATAAAATTTCGTTTGTACTGTAGAGGTACAAAGCTCAGGAAATTCGTATACTGCCCAGTCCAAGTACTTTTTCTGTTTATATTCCTTTTTAACGATCCATCCACTCTCTTAGTCAAGAGAACATCTAAAAAGGCTATTCG